GCAGAGCGGTTTGCAGTGGCGCGGCCGCACTGTTGGTAAGAATGGGATGCATACAGTACGAGACTGCAGTTCCAACGATCCAGTGAGTCATGCATTCAGCAGCAGTATGGTCTTTTCATTTCTGCTGTACAGAGCTGGGGCACTATTCGCTGTTGTTTCGTGTTGGACTTTTTCCTTCAATGTCCAGGTGCGCAACTCCGGCGTTTGGGCTGTCGTGGAGGGTGCCGGCGACCATTGCTGCGAGTACATGACAGGCAGCGGCAGCATGCGACGCAAGAGAAGCAAGTTTCACACGGAGTAGATGGTAGACGTCGTGCGTTTGTCAGTGCCAGGTGGACGCGTCCTTGTTCTGGGATCCGTTGGGGACAACTTCGGAGCCGGTGCGGGACTTTCTGGGACATCTCAAGGCTCAAGGTTCTGTAAGCTGCGCTTCTGCCGGACTGAGGCATGAGCGGGGGGATCACCTGGATCTGGGACCCGTCCCAGACCTTCGAGAGCCGATCCTTACCACAGGAGCCGCCGCATGCCTGGCTTTTCAAGCGGTCCAAAGGACGAAGTAACCCAGGCTTTCAACATGAGCCCGAAGACACAGTGACCCGAGTCTTGCCTGATGGAAATAAGTCCGAAGAGTCCGAAGCTCTGACAAGTGAGATCAAAGCTCGCCATATGTGACCAAGGTTCAAAGCATCAGAGTCTGATCATCAGAGCTTACGAGCTCAAGGTACCAGCCTTGTAGTAGCAGCCACATGAAATGTAGAAAATGCGTAGTGGCATAGAAGACTCGGGTTTAGGACCTTCTTAGGAAGCTAAAACGTACAAACATTCAGAGAAGGGCCAAATGAAAGGTTCGTACTTGCAAGAGCCGAGTCCCCCAGTCAGGACCTGGAGATCGGACGTCTCGCGGCAGACACCAACCCCGAGGCCTACCCACACGAAGAGAAGGACACACTGCAATGCAGAAGCCGTGCAGAGCTGGAGCTTTGTTGCGTTCTGGGCTGTACTACTGGAGTCGATTCTCCTCCATTAACGCCAGTTCTGTTCGGTCCTTGACTCGATGTGGCAAGGACTTGAAGTCGCTCTTGAACGCCCACAAGAGCTGGACCAACAGCTACTAAGCTGATAGGCTAAGCCATCAGTCGATCTGCAGAGTCTGTGACGAGCTTGCTCTGTCGGTGTGGGTTTGAGGGCGCAGGTCTGCCGTGGCAGTCGCCTGCGCAGTTGCTTGTCCATTTCGCATCATGTCTAGTGCATCACATTATCCGCATTCCCTCGTGGCTGATGGTCGGGGCTTCTTGCAGGGATACATGGTAGCTCGGCATGGTGTTTCGGTAGGTGCCGAGTCACTGGTATCTGTTCGGGGCCAGGTCGTGGTTTCATGGTATTTGAGAGGTCCAGGTGGACGGTGCAGCCTCGTTGGAGGAAGTACCAACGGCAGGTCCAGCCTTGCTGGTGTCGTTAGCTGGTGAAGACAAGCGGCACGGGGGGCAATCTGACTTCAATCAGCATGCACACCAATAATTTGCCACTGTGCCATCGTCACAGCATCGAAGCAGTGTTGGTAAGAACGACAGAGTAGGCTGCTTGCTCATCTTAGAAGGATGGTGCTACCGCTATCAGGAGGAAAGGCCTTGAGCAAATCTCCAGCGTCGAAAGCCAAGCTGAGGCAAACAAGCTGACGAAATTCTGAAGCGCTGGCCTGCGTGCATGTCCGAGTTTGTGCGGGTCTTCCCAAAGGACAGGTCCAAGGTAGTCGAAGAGCGAGAGTCGACAGAATTCCCGAGATTTTGGCAGGACTTCAAAGCTGCAGTCCAGGCAGCCATCGATCGGGGCGAGCACACGCCGATAGGCCTGCATGGCAGAGAAGCACAGAGCCTTTCATGCCCTGGAAAGTCCAGGCTCGATGCGCGAGTACCTCCCCTCGCAGGAGGCGCTCAATGACGATAAAAGCAAGCAGCGTATTCGCAAGCAGCCAAAGGCCGGGAAAGCTTTCTTCGGAACCGATTTCCTCAAGCGTTTCTTGGGCCAGGTCAGGAGAAGTTCCTTCGAGGATGACTCGGTTCCCGTCAGTAACGCGTCATCAAAAACCCGAAGTGTTCAAAAACCTTGCGTGTATGCATCATACTCATTGAGGACGACAGCCATGTACTGTTCAGGCATGGACATTGAAGACGTGGCTCTCTTCCAGAAGACGACGAAGGGAAGCCGTCCACAGAAGACACTCGTCCACAGCATCAACAGATGATATGCATTCAGCCAGGGCCAACATGTGATGACACACTCTTCATCAGATCTATAAGGATCGAGGATGCCAAGCTGGTGGCAACTTCCAACCGAGGCAGCTTAGCGTTCCGAAGGAGGATGTTTTTGCACACTGCTTCCGGCCCTTCCGGCCCTTCTGGCCCTTCTGGCCCTTTTGGCACTCAGGCTTCCTGGAGGTGGATCGCGGCGACCTCCCGAAGCGAGGAGTTCGCGTTTGTGTTCTGAAGAACTTCCCTGTGCAAACGGCGTGTTTGGTTGGAGGAGTTGAGGAGCGTGTTTCTGACTTTAAAGAAATCCTGGCAAAGAAAGACGAGGCGACAGCGAATTGCTGTGGGCACTGCTGTGAATGCTGTAGTCTACAAAGTTGACGGCTTTGGCAAGTGCTTTGGCAGGTGGCTGTTCAGACCCAGGCTTCCCGCTGCATGGACTGCGGCACGCCCTTCTGCCACCAGTCCGTAACGGACAAGTCCGGATGCCCGCTGGGGAATCTCATCCCGGCAGCTTGGCCACCTGTTCAGATGAAGCCACTCACATTGATCAGGAGGTTCATGAAGATCAGCCATAGCTATACGGAGGCTCATGATGATGATGGTGATGATGATGATGATGATGATGCCGGTGATGAGGATGATGACGATTCTGCTGCTGCTGCTGCTGCTGCCCCTACCGCCGTGTCAGGAGAATGCGGAGGAACTAAAGGGATGCAGATGACTTGGAGGAGGAGGGCGTATTTTTTCGGTCTTTTTTTTTTTCTCGTCTTTTTTTTCGCTGGAGTCACTTTGAAGGCAATGAAGGAAGGAAAGAAGAAAGAAGGAAGGAGGGAAGGAAGGAAGGAAGGAACGAAGGAAGGAAGGAAAGAAGGAAGCCCATGCAAGACGAAAAAGAGAGACGCCACTTCCTGCTTGCCTCCCGAACGCCAACGCACCAGTATCTTTGCCGTGAGACCGCAAGAAAACCTTTTAACAAATCCGCATGATGGGAAGACTTGGCACGCCTGCATGGTGTTTCCAAAGCTGATGAAACCTTAGGATTCTTAGCAAAACCTACCTAGCCTAGCAAACCCACACACATGACGTTTGCACATGCTTTATGTATATATGTATATCTATACACACACACATACATTGCGACCGCAAGTGTTGCCCCCTGGCGTATCAATCTTAGACACCTTTGCAGTTTCGTCGGCCCAAATCCAAACCCAGGCGAAGATAGGTTTCTAAGGAGCTTGTTTGGACTCGTACGTCGGCTGTCGGCACCAAAGATG